TACAGTTGATTTGTTTGTGTATCTTTTATATCCCGCAACTCTGCTGAATTTGTTTATTGCACTAATAGTTTTTTGTGGATTCTTTAGAGTCTTCTACATATAAGACCCTGCTATCTTGGAACAGATGTAAGTTTACTTTCACCTTTCCAATTTGGATGCCTTTTATTTCCTTTTCTTGTCTAGGTGCTTGTGTTGGGAGCCTCCAATAGGTGGTGTATTCAGTTAAGAATATGCAGATTATGACTACTGAATGAGGAGGCACAAGCCACCCACACAGGGATAACAGATAGCTCCCTCAGCATCTGAGCTCCCACCTTGGGAAAACCCTGGGATTGTTTCAATTGAAGGCACAGTTTCAGTACATCCATGCAAAGGAAGTAAAGTCACAAGATTTATTACTTACAGATCCCATAGACAGGTGGGCAGTGAGTCAGGAGAAGGGCAGTCTTCTGTCCCAGGTCACGAATGAGCAAGAGATTTGAGAGCAGGGTAGTAAGCACCTGTTACTTACAAGGTGGTTGGGGCAGAGGTCGCTAACTTTTCTTGGCCTCAACTCTACATGTTTATTTTTAAAGGTGCCCTGGGAAAAGCAAGGCAGGAACTTGTGGGAATCCTAAACTTAGGTCCTTATCTAAAGATCCAGACTCTAGGTGTGAGCAGGGTTGTCAAACTGTAAAATGCCTAGGCAGCAACTCAGAATAACTATGTCATCATCACAGTGCTCTGGCTAGAACTTCCAGTACAGTGTTGAGTGGAAGTGGTGAAAGCAGGCAGCCTTCTTGTATTTCTGTGAAAGCGTTCATTCTTTCACAATTGAGTATGATGTTAACTGGGTTTTTCATATATGGCCTTTATCTTATTGAAGTAATTACCTTCTGTTCCTAATTTATTGAGTGTTTTTGTCATGCAGTGGTGTTGGTTTTTGTGAAATGCTTTTTCTGCCTTTACTGAGACGAATATGTAGGATTTTTCCTTCATTCTGTTCATATGATATGTTTGATTAGTGTTCTGAAGTTGAACCACTCATATTCTGAGAATAGATCTCCCTTGGTCATGATGTATAATAATCCTCTTAATATGATTTAGTTTGCTAGTGGGTTTTTTGAGGATTTTTACAACTAAATCCATAAGGGATAAGGGATATTGGCCTGTAGTTTTCTTTTCTAGCACTGTCATTGTCTGGCTTTGGAATCAGGGTAATGCTGCCCTCGTAAAAAGAATTATGAAGTGTTCCCTCCTCTTCAGTTTTTGGAAGAGTTTAAGAAGGATTGGTGTTCATTAAATGGTTGATAGAATTCACCAGTGAAAATATCCAGTCCCAGGCTTTTCCTTATTGGAGGTTTTTGAATACTGATATAATCTCCTTACTTGGTATAGGTCTACTCAGATTTTCTGTTTTGTCTTAAATTTGCTTGGTAGTTTTATGTTTCTAGGAATTTGTGCATTTCACCTAAAATTTATAACAACCTATTTGGATACAGATACAGTTATTGTAGTATACAAACACTCTGCTCCCGTGTCCCTGTGTCCCTCCCCTTTATATTATCTTGTCACAAGTTACATCTTTATACATTCAGTGCTCATTAACATAGATTAATCATTATAGTCTTACATAATTGTCTTTTAAGTCATATAGCAAAAAAGAGGAGTTACAAACCAAAAGTACAAGAATACTGGTTTTTTATGTTTACCTGTGTACCTACCTTTGCTGAAGATCTTTATGTCTTCATCCGGCTTCAAGTTACTGTCTCGTGTCCTTTCATTTCAACCTAAAGGACTCGCATTACCATTTCTTACAGGACAGATCTACTGGTAGGTCTACATCAGCTTGTGCGTATCTGGGAATGTCTTACTTTCTCCTTCATTCTTGAAGGATAGTTTGCTGAACATAGAATTCTTTGTTGACAGGTTTTATTTCCAGGTCTTTATATATGTCATTCCACTGCCTTCTGATCTCAGTGATGTCTGATGAGATTTATGTTGTCTCACAGGCTCCTTAGGCACTGGTCATTCTTACTCATTTTTCTCTCCTTCTCAGACCGGATAATTTCTGCTGCCTTCAAGTTTGCTGATCCTTTCCTCTTCCTGCTCAAATATTTTGTTGACTCTCTAGTGAGTTTTTTATTTAAAGTATTGTACTTTTCAGCTCTAGAATATCTGTTTGGTTTCTTTTCATAATTTCTATCTTTTATTAACACTCTCATTCTGTTTACATATTGTTTTCTGAATTCCTTTAGGTCTTTGTCCATGATTTCCTTTAGCTTTTTGAGCATATTTAAGATAATTAATTTGACGTCTGTGACTAGTAATTCCAAGATCTGGGTTTCTTCATTGATTGTTTCTGTCAGCTTCTTTTTATCACGTGAATGGGCTATACCTTCCT